TGCTGTATTATTCATGGGGCGGCCTGCATTATTCATGAAGCGTGGAAAGCCATGCTTTAGGTTCCACAGAACTGCCCCCAAAGCCCTGGCCGAAGTCTTCCCCTGCTTGAGATCTGGCTGAATGGGAGGAGGGACACAGGACGGACAGCATCATTTAGACTTAGGATGTGCCGGCCTTTGCTTCTTGCCCACCTCACCATTTGAACCGTCTCTCGTCCAGATGTAAAGACGACTGTGGATTTGCCCAGCGGGCTGTCTAGGGTGCCATTGTTTCAAGGTTCAAAATGCTTTCTGCTGTGTGTGTGTCCTGCTCTCCAGGAGCAAAGTCCAGAGGGATGGGGAAGCAACCCACAGTTCTTTTGCCATTTCCCAGAAACTCAGTTGGAACAAAGGACCAGGTTTCACGGTGCAACCCAGCTGCCGGCCAGGTCCTGTGAGCAGGGCCCTGTGGGAGGACGCATGGAAGGAAGCAGAACGTTTCTACAAAGCCTGTGCCTGGCAGCATCCTTGGCACAGCCCACACATCTCCCCTCATTGCCCTGCCAGCCTCAGGACATTCTGATGCTGTCTGCCTTTGGGGGGCCACGAGACGCGGGGATGTGCAGCAGTGCAGGGACCCAACAGGCGGCCGCCCCACATCAAGCGCCGTGTGGCTTGCGGCGACACAGCCAAGCCCCTGGCCTGTCTAGTCTTTTCCACCCAGGTGGATAATTTGTATTTTTACACCTACTTAATAATGAATGCCTGCATCTTGGCAAGTGAGCAGCTGGGAAAAACCAGGCTGACCTGGTTCAGTTAGCATATATTCAAGCATCTGGACCCTCGTTGTCATGCCAGCAGGCGGCCAGGCCTCTCCTTGCAGCCCACACCACTCCGCCTCCTCCGGCCTCTCTTTCCTGCCCACCCTGGGCAGCTCAGCTGACTTTGTGCTCTCCTTGTCATGAGGGTTAAGTGAAGTAACACTTGGAGGGCATGCAGTCTAGTGTTGGCCCTACAGCACGTGTGATGCTAATATTATGATCCCATAATGTCTGTTACTTCCCTCTCCTTTTCTCATCTGCCTTTTTGCCTTTCTCTGTCTCATGTCCAGCCGCACAGGCATCTTGACATAAGCCCAACGCAACACCTCCGAGGCTTCTCGACCTTATCCTTCCCTTTCCCCTGCTGGGACCTTGATCTCTGCCTCCCCAGCCTCACCCTTCTACCAACCTCATTCCTAATGTGTCCTCTCTCCCTTTCCACGGGTTCCTCGTCTTCTGGTTTCAGCCAAAGACAGTTCTCCCTGCCATTGATTTCCTGTTTCTTGGAGCTTAAAATCTTGGAGTCATCTTTCCCTTCTTCCTCTTCTTTTACCCCCTGCAAAGTACCACATGCCATCTTGCCTTCCTTGTGATGCCTACTGGGTCTTCTCTTCCCTCTCTCTAGTTTTTACCACTCCACTCTAGGGGCCATGTTAACTATCTGGCAGTTCTCAAGTGGTGGCCCAGGGTGCCCTGGGGGTCCTAAGACCTTTTTTTTCCCATTTATTTATTTTATTGCATTTTAGGTTTTGGGGTACATGTGAAGAACATGCAAGATTGTTGCATAGGTACACATGTGGCAGTGTGATTTGCTGCCTTCCTCCCCATCACCTACATCTGGCATTTCTCCCCTTGCTATCTCTCCCCAACTCCCCACCCCCCACCGTCCCTCCCCTATTTCCCCCCAACAGACCCCAGTGTGTAGTGCTCCCCTCCCTGTGTCCATGTGTTCTCATTGTTCAACACCCACCTATGAGTGAGAACATGCGGTGTTTGATCTTCTGCTCTTCTGTCAGTTTGCTGAGAATGATGGTTTCCAGGTTCATCCATGTCCCTACAAAGGACCCAAACTCATCGTTTTTGATGGCTGCATAATATTCCATGGTGTATATGTGCCACATTTTCCCTGTCCAGTCTATCGTCGATGGGCATTTGGGTTGGTTCCAGGTCTTTGCTATTGTAAACAGTGCTGCAATGAACATTCGTGTGCACGTGTCCTTACAGTAGAACGATTTGTAATCCTTTGGATATATACCCAGTAATGGGATTGCTGGGTCAAATGGAATTTCTATTTCTAGGTCCTTGAGGAATCGCCACACTAAGTGAAATCTATTTTCATGGTAACACTAAGCCATTATTAGGCATTTTCACTCTCATTCTCTCATGAGCATATGCTAGTTTTCCAGAGGCCACACGATGTGATGACATCATTGCCCTGAAGACGGATAGAGTTGGTGCTCATGTATCCTGGAGCCGTACATCTTTTTTTTTTATTGCATTTTAGGTTTTGGGGTACCTATGAAGAACATGCAAGATTGTTGCATAGGTACACACGTGGCAGTGTGGTTTGCTGCCTTCCTCCCCTTCACTTACATCTGGCATTTCTCCCCAAGCTCTCTCTCCCTAACTCCCCACCCCCTGCTGTCCCTCCCCTATTTCCCCCCTACAGGGGAGCATCACATCTTTCTATGTTTTAATTTCTAATCTGGTAAATAGTGATAGGTCTGACATAAACAAGGGCTCTTTGAGGCCCTCGGGAATTTTTTTTTTTCTTTTTTTTTCGTTTATTTTATTGCATTTTAGGTTTTGGGGTACATGTGAAGAACATGCAAGATTGTTGCATAGGTGCACACGTGGCAGTTTGTGTCCTTTGTAGGGAATTTTTTTTGAGAAAATGGGTTCTGAAACCATAAGTTTGAGAATGTTGACCCGGCCCCTGGCAGTCAGTGTGGTGCCTACGTGTGAATTAGAAGAGATGCCTGTCTGGGTGCACGTAGCCGGTGTCAGGGTTGCAGCTGGGTCTGGCCAGGCGGGCGCAGACTGGGTTTTAGCCTCTGTTTATCCCTTCGGTTGAGTACTTTGAGAAATGCTCAAACCGCACAACTGTACATGGCAGCCCTGTGCTTCTAACCCGTCCCAGCTGGCTTCTCAGTGTCTAGTCTTCCTCCTCCCCAGCTTATCCTGTCCATTCCTGTTGGATTTCTCTTTTTACAGACCTTCTTTGTCCTCATTGTTCTCCATTTATAGAGGCCTCAACGGTTTTCCCCTGTCTTCTGAATGAGTTCCAAATTTCCTAATGTGGCAGTGAAAGTCCTCCGCTGCCTGGCTTCTACTCACCCTTCCAGCTTTGTTTCCCAGTGCTCCTCAACACATACTCTGTCCTGCTAAGCCTTTCTTTTCTGTCGTCACAGCTCACCTACAGCTTCCCTTTGCCTTTGTTACCTCCTCCTCCTCACCCCCACCCCGCGCCCCACCCCTGCCACCCCACAGCCTGCTCTTTGCCTACGTGAGCTCCTGAGGTCAGGTCTCCTAGCTGGCTCCTCTTTACTTCTCCCATGCTCCCAGAATGCCAGCACATGACAGACGGGGTGGCAGGTGTAGCACATGGAGGTTGGTTTGGGGTCCAGCACATGGAGGTTTCAAGCTATGCTGTGCTGCATACCAGCTAAAGGACCTTGTGCATGTGCCGTAACCCCTCCAAACATCGGAGAGGGCCCCTCCCTCCCTGCAGCCCTGGCCATCTCCCAGGGTTGTGGTAAGAAGTAAATGCTCAGTAAGGGTTCGTTCCTTTCCTTCACCCTTCTGACAGTATCGTGTGGAGAGAGTCCTTTTACGCTAAAAGGATGGTACCGTGTAGGGGTATTTGCACATTCTGCCTCTGGTGCCCTAGTAACTGGAAAGCGCCGATTCCTTCCACCAGGAGCCTCATGTTTTCCTGAAAGCTGATTAATTTTGTCGCATGCTTAAGTATTTCGGAGTTTGCCAATTGTCAAAACTATCCTATGTCTTAGTGCAGTTTACCCAAGGGCCCCTCCCACTGGGTTCTAACAGATTCATCTCCCTGATGGTCCAGAAAGAGTATCATGTTTCGTCTAATGATCCAGGCATTCGGATGTATCCGCTTCTCTTTACTCTGAGTTTTGGATTGATTAATGCTGTTCATCGTCTCCTCAATAATGCCATTGAGAGGAGAGGTGACTTACTTTAAGTCACAAGGAAAATCAGTGGAGAAGGAGGTCCTTGAAGGTGACTCTTCCCCCATCAGACATTCTTCTTCACCAGGCTGAGTGCCCCTGGAGAACAGGGACTGTCTTCGTCATCTCTGTGTCAGCAGCACTCAGCCCATGGCCAATTAAGGAGCAGGTACTTATTAAGAATTTACTGAATTTATGAAAGAATAAAGCTGGTCCCAGGATAGGCTTTGAGCATATCTTGGAAATAGCTACCTACCTACTCTCCCAGGGAGAGTCAGTCAGTCTCTCGCTCTGTCCTTTAACAAGAATTTATATGCCAGACTCAGTTCTAAGTTACGGAATGAACAAAACAGGCAATGTCGCTGATCCCAATGGAGCTTAATTTTTATTCAGGGAGACAGATAAACAAACTAATTAAAAATAAATATTTAAAGTGATGCCAGTGGTGATAAATTCTAGAAAGACAAATATAGCACGGCAAGGGACTGGGCAGTGTTAGACAGAGCCAACCTGGCAGGTATGTCGGGTGAGAGCTTGGCAGTAGTTTCAACAACAAGTGCAAAGGTCCTGGGGTAGGAATAACCCAGTCAAGCAGGTGAACTGGCAGACACCAAGGTCAGTGTGGCTGAAGAGGAGGAGAGGGGGTGAGGGAAGATGAGGTCAGAGATATGACGGAGAATGGTGCAGATTATTTAGGGCTTTGACTTCGATTTTCACTGAGACGGAAGGCCATTGGAAGGTTTTGCCAAGAGGGGCATCTCAAGTGGATACTTCTTTAAAAGGATCTCTTAGGTGCATTAAGTGCGGTGAATTTCTTTTCTTTTTTTTTAAATGAGTTTATTGTTTTCAAACTACAACTTAAGGATTTTTCCACTTCTTTTACAACCTTGCTAAATCCCTCCTCCCCTTAATGCCTGAACAGGTAGGGTCCCCATTGTCCTCATGGCCCTGGGAGGGTCCTGGGCCAGCTTCCGTTCAGAGGTTCCCTTCCCCTCTTTGCCCACAGGAGGTTGGAGCAGAACTTTTTCAACTGCAGCTGTGACATCCGCTGGATGCAGCTCTGGCAGGAGCAGGGAGAGGCCAGGCTGAACAGCCAGAACCTCTACTGCATTAACGCTGATGGCTCCCAGCTTCCTCTCTTCCGCATGAACATCAGTCAGTGTGGTGAGTGAGTGGCCGCTCGGCCCAGCTGGCTCCAGGGAGGCATCACTCAGACACCAGAGATGGTGCTGGATGTTACCTTGGGATGCCATAGGCTTCCTTTCAAAATGCCCTTCCAGCCTCGAACTCTGCAGTTGGGTGCAGGCCTCCTGACTCACCATTTCCCTTCTTGGTCATTCCTGTCCCTTTGCGCATCAGCCATGGAAAGACTGGTTTCAGGAATGCAGACAGGGGTTCAGTGTACTCCTCCCCATCACATCAGATTCCCTTTCTCTCTGTGAGCTACCTGTCAACCAGAACTAGAGGAGTGTATCTTAAAATGTGGTGTCTGGACTCCCTGTGGCAGCAGCTTCTTAGGAGTTTCCAGAAAAGCAGATTTCTGGGCCCAACCACAGACTTCGAGAATGTCTGGGGATGGGTCCCAGAAATCTGAATTTTGAGCGAGTTCTCCAACTGGAGTCTGAAACATTTGGATAACCAGAGCCCAAAGTGTAATGTTGCCATTGAGCATAATTACCAGAAATGCATTCCTTGAGTGCTGCCCACCCCGCCCCCACCCCCCGCCGCAGGGTGGGAGAGCGCTACTGCCTAGGCTTCAATTCTGAGTTCTGATGTCTGCTGGGGAGGTGATGTAAAGCATCTTGGATCTGTGGGTCTTCCAAGAGCTCCAGCAGGTTGTGTTAGAGTCGTTACTGGGCAAGGCAAGAAGTTCCACCGTCAACCCCATGGACAGAGCTTCCTTTGGGTCGTAAGTGTTTACCTGTCTTTTCACGCACTTTGTCTGGCTCCCAGACCTTCCTGAGATCAGCGTGAGCCACGTCAACCTGACCGTACGAGAGGGTGACAATGCTGTCATCACTTGCAATGGCTCTGGATCACCCCTTCCTGATGTGGACTGGATAGTCACTGGGCTGCAGTCCATCAACACCCACCAGGTAGGCATCCTGGGCTTGGGCCCCATCAGGAGGCTCAGGAGTGATCGCACTGTAGTCTTGAACAAGAGGGAAAATTCGTGGTCTTGTTACTATAGGAAGAAACACATAGCCTCGGGTTACCTGCAGCTGCGGTATTTTCTACCCATTTTGCTCTTGCACATGCCACTCAACTTCTCTGTCACTTAGTTTTCTCTTCTGTAAAATGGGCATAGTACTGAACTGCTGTTCACATAGGGTTAATAGGAGGATGACCTGAACTATTTCCTGTGAGGAGCCTGGCGTGTGGTCGGTGTGCTTTCACACAAAGATCTCCTCCACCTTCTGCTTAGCTTTCCTTTTGATTCCTAAAGGTATTTGTGGATTAGATAGTGGAGCCATCCTTGTAGAGGCTGTTTGAGTGATTGTTATACTTTTATTGGGGTTTTCAGACCAATCTGAACTGGACCAATGTTCATGCCATCAACTTGACGCTGGTGAACGTGACGAGTGAGGACAATGGCTTCACCCTGACGTGTATTGCAGAGAACGTGGTGGGCATGAGCAATGCCAGTGTCGCCCTCACTGTCTACTGTAAGTGCATGTTATTGTGGGGGATGGCTGTGTGTGAGGGGAACTGGTACAGGAGGCTGGAGAGGGGTCAACGTGTTGCCAGGGCTGAGCTAGAGCAGTGGGCTGGTCTACCTGTAGGGGCAGAAGGACTCTTGTAGGGAAGGACTGACAGGTAAGTCCTTGGAGTAAAAACCCCAGAAAGAGCACCCTTGTCCCTCAGAAGATGGTGTGGCTCCAACTCAACCACATCTGCAGGACACTTCTACGTTGGCCTATTCTGTCTTTTATTAAACCACTAAGAGATCCCAAGAGGGAGCCCTCCAGTTAAGGTGGATCTAGGAAGCTTGGAATGAAGACATCTCTTCCCCTCTGCTGGGGTAGTGGTGGGGCCTCTGCTTCCCTCAGCCTTTTCAGAGTGGGTGGGGAAGAACTGAGATCCCCACTTTGGTTGCTGGAAGGCTACCGTGGGAGACAGGAGACTCTGTGTCCTGGAATTGAGCTGGCTTCTTTCTTGACAGACCCCCCGCGTGTGGTGAGCCTGGAGGAGCCTGAGCTGCGCCTGGAGCACTGCATTGAGTTCGTGGTGCGTGGTAACCCGCCGCCGACGCTGCATTGGCTGCACAACGGGCAGCCTCTGCGGGAGTCCAAGATCATCCATGTGGAATACTACCAGGAGGGAGAGATTTCCGAGGGCTGTCTGCTCTTCAACAAGCCCACCCACTACAACAATGGCAACTACACCCTCATTGCCAAAAACCCACTGGGCACGGCCAACCAGACCATCAATGGCCACTTCCTCAAGGAGCCCTTTCCAGGTGAGGGTGGCGTAGCTGGCTCGGGGGTATATGGATTCTTTGTACAAGCTTAGGACGTGGGGCATGGTAGCTTGAGGGGAGAAGCAGCCCCAGTGCTCATGCTTGTCATGGGCAGCCGAACACACACTGGAACATGTGTAGCCATCGTCCGTATCTGCTCTAAAAAGGATAGGTCTCCATTTTCCAATAGCTGTTATGGTAAAAACCAAGACCCCTTAGAAATAACAGTTGTGCATATTAGGACATGCTGTGTGAAAGCAGAGAAAGCAGAGACTGTAATGGTAGGGAATTCTCACCCAGCCCTTTAATTGTGGGGAGTCGCCGGGCCTGATAGTTTGCTTTCCTAAGCATCGATTTCCTCTTCTATGAAATAGTCATCATTATACGGCTCCTATGACTTTTAAATGAGCCAAGATATATAATGCATGTCACAGAGTTTGACACCTGATGATGGTTCCGTGACTTTCCATTGCAAAGGACTTGAGAGTGTGTCCAGTTTAACCCTACACTTAACAGATGAGTGACCTGGGCCTCATTCTCCTTGCTGATCTGTTTCAAGGCTTGACTTGGATCTAGGCCCCCAGGTCCGGGACTTCATTCCTCTCTTGTTCCATGCTGAGCTGCTAGGGGACGTACCTGATGCCCTCAGCTTATGATCGTGCTAATGTCAAGTGGGCTAGGAAAAATTACGGAAATTACTGAAGAACTTTGCTTGATTTTGATTTTGGGAGGTGATGCTGTCTTTCTCTGTTTAGGGTAAGATGCTTTACATATCTTCCTGAAGTTGGAGGAGAAAAAAAACAACAAGAGAGTTTAGTGGAAGTGATTGTAGCATCTTTTGGTGGGTTCCACAAGTGATACATTTTGTCCATGAAGCCATGTGTCTTTGCTGAGCTTGGTGCTTTGTTTTGCGAAGTGAGTAGGAGACCTCTTGTCTTCAATTCCTAGGAATGAGAAGTTCTAATGGGATACAGTGTATAAAGTGATACAACACAGGCACACATGCACACACACACACACACACACACACACACACACACACACACAAAGGGAAGAGGCAGCAGGAGCTAGCAGGATGCAGCATCTGTTTTTATGAAGTCAACTTCACCGTCTACAACAAATAACCAGAGTGGCAGCTCCGGGAGGCCTTAAAGGGAACTCGAACTGGAGGCCTCAAGAGTGAAGTTGGATGAATGTGGCTGTATGTGAAGCTAAATTCTTGCCATTGAGGTCCTGGGATGATGGAGCCATCTTTTCTGAGAGGTTGAGAATGTGCAGATGTTTGAGGCCCTGGAAATCCCCTGTGGTCTGAAACTTGCAACCTCATCCCCAGTATGCTCAGTGAAAGTCCCCAGGACACTTCCCCTCCTGGGCCACACTGGGCGCTCTCTCTCTCTCTCTCTTTTTTTAATTGTACTTTAGGTTCTGGGGTACATGTGCAGATCATGTAGGATTGTTGCATAGGTACATACATGGCAAGGTGGTTTGCTGCAGCCATCGCCCTGTCACCTGTGTCGGACACTGGGCTCTCTTTCAGCAGGTAGACAAGTCCTGGCCTGCACGTTGGAAACAGGCTTTTTGAGCACAGGTACTTTGCCCTTAAGGTGTACAAGGTCAGGCTAGGTTTTGTTGACATAAAAGACTGAACCTTTGCCTTGCCTCTGCGGTGATTAGAGAATAAATTCTTTTTTTAAAGAGGAAAGTCTATATATTGGCGAGGGAATGAAGCACTCTGAAACAGTGTTTCTGTTTCCAAAGGGAAGCTTCTGGATGCCAGAGAGGGGGAGACCCTAGAATGTTCAGGAGGGAGGAGGAGCCACTCTGGGCTCCTTCTGCCAGGTGTCCTGAGAGGTGCGGGGTGGTAGCAGCAGTCGGATGATGTGGTGGACACAGCTTCCCCGTTCTCTCCCTTATCTCAGGAGGAATCAGTTCTTTGCATCCTCTCAGCCCTCGGAGGTATCTCGACATACCTCCTGTGCCCCCACAAGATGCAGCAGCCCCTTCTGATGATAGTCTCTGGGTACCCTTGTCACCCTAGTCAGTTATCAGTGCTCCTCATTCAGGCCACTGGTTCTCAAAAGTGTGGTCCATGGACCAGCTGCATCCGCATCACCTGAGAATGGGTTAAAACTCAAGTTCTCAGGCTCCACTCACCTCTACTGAATCAGAGATTCTAGGGTAGGGTCTAGCAGCTATGTTTTAACAAGCCCCCACGGTGAGTCTGGTACTCCCTCCTTCGCAATCTCCTACCTTGGAATTGGGTGGGAATCTGTCCCAGGAGGAGGGAGGGAGGATCGAGTCACAGAGAAGCTCAAAGAGAAAGCACCTCACCTGAGGTCATTTCCTCAGACCCATCTCCACCCTGCTAGGGCCACCCTGTGGGAAGTTTTGCTTGTTACGAGTCTTCAGATGAAAGGAACCAATGGGTGATGAAAAGGCAGTGACAGGGAAAAGATGGGCCAGTCACGCCAAGTGGCAAGATGCTTAAACGTTCAGGAGAGTCAGTTATCTGGGGGAGTAGGCAGAGATGCATCATAACGCTCTATACCAAACTCACCCCAGCTAAGCATAGACGTAAAAAGCTGGGCTGTGTAGACGTAAAAAGCTGGTCTGTGTAGACGTAAAAAGCTGGGCTGTGTAGACGTAAAGCTGGTCTGTGATTCTTGCTCTTCTCTTTTGATGTGAGAGTGTGGAGGCCTCATGATCATCATGTGTGCTTCTCTTTTGCCTCCAGGCAGCTAAGCATGGAGGTTAAGAACAGGCGACCTGAAATCGGACAGACTTAGGTGAAGATCCCATCTGTGGCCCCTCCCAGATGGCCCTCCCATCTGGTGGCCTGGGCTCATATCATGGGGTTTAGTGCAAGGTCAGCACTAGATGAAGGACAGTCACTTCTCTGTGCCTCTATTTCCGTATCTGCGAAATGGATGAGAATACCAAATGCTTAGTAGTGTGTCTGGACAAAGAAAAGGCTTGCTGGCTGTGGGCCACTGTTAAGATTCTTAGGATGTAGAGCTGAGATGAATTCAAAAGTTCTAGAATCAGTAGTCATTCTTTGGTCAAGCTAGGAAGTTCTAACAGATAAACTTAAGGTAGTCTAGTGGTCATTGGACCACATTGCCAGGACTCTAATTCTCACTCAATCACTTGTCAGCTCCGAGATGTCAGGCAAATAAATTGCTTCACCTTCCTCCTTTTCCCTTAAAGCGTAAGATTAATTTACAGAAGGGCCCTTCTTGAAGAGTTTTGGTCTGGGACCGTAGGAGATGTGTGCATTCTCTTCATGGCACGGCCGTACTTTATGTTCAGATTGTGCCCTGATGTGCTGGTGGGTCAGAGGTGAGGACCAGTCCTAGGTACCATCCTCTTCGAGACTGAATGCCTGAGGCCCTCCCAGAGTTCGGAGAGGAGCCATGATGTCTCCTTCCAAAGCGTATGTGCTTTCTGGATGTATAAATGATTCCAGGCTCTGGCAAAGGCCTTAAACATTCATAGGCTGATTTGGAGAGTACAGGATTCATAAACTTGGCCAAAACATTTGGCTAACGTGAGAATATTCTCTAATAAATGGGAGCCTTATGAGATATATGCAAATCTATGTAAAATGTGAATCGATCTGGTACCTCTCTTCTCTCAGGCTCTGAAACCCAGGCTAGAGTTTCCATTTCCTCCATCCTCCCACTGCCCCAGTCAAGCATCTGGTCACCTGCCATTGAGAAGAGGTTGTTGGAATGAAGGGTATGCCCAGGAATGTGGAGAAAGCTTTGTGGCTGTCCTCCCAAACAATACAGAACAGATAAGCAAACAAATTGCATTTATCACAACTAAGACTTTCTTTGAAGGACTCCCTCACAGAAAGTATCTGGTTCCCCACAGGTGGTTAGAGAATATTTTCTGGTTCATACTTAACAGAGCCAAGACTGTGAGGGGCCACAAAGCATGAATGAGTGAATGAATGAATGAATGCATTCTTACTTTTCAGGGCATGGTGGGCTAAGTCAGAAGGCTGTGCAGTATGATATAGTACGTCCCAAAGGGAACAGCTGCATCAGCCTCTCCTGAAAACTTGTTAGAAATGCAAAATCTTGATACACACCCCAGGTCTACTGAATTAGAAACTCTAGGGTGAGGACTAATAATCTGTGTTTCTTACTAATTTTTAAAGATTTAAAAGATTTTTATTTTGAAATAGTTTGGAATTCATATTTTTAAAAGTTACAAAACAGTACAAAGCACTTGCACCCTTTGTCCAGCTTCCCCAGATGTTAACGTCTTACCTAACCACAATGCAATGATCAAAACCAGGAGGTTAACGTGGGTTCATCACTATTATCTAGTGTACAGACGTGGATTACATTTTACCAGTTGCCCCATTGATGCTTTTTCCTTGTCTAGGATCCAATTCATCTGAACTACACACTGCACTGAGTTACTGTGTCATCTCACTCTCTTTAAATTTGGGACAGTTCCCCAGTCTTTGTCTTTCATGATCTTGGACCTTTCTAAGAATACTAGTTTTTTTGTAGACAGTCTTTCCATTTGGATTTTTCTGATTTTTTTTCCCTAATGATTATATTCTAGTTATGCATTTTTGGCAGGAACTCTACAGAAGTGATGCTCTGCCCTTTCAGTGCATTGTTTCAGGGGTGCGTCATGTCGATAGGTTTTGGTACTGAAGGTGTTAACTTTATCACTTGGTCAAGGTGGTGTCTGCCAGTTTTCTCTGCTGCAAACAGATGATTTTGCCCTTTGTAAGTCATCAGTATAATATTTTAAAGCCACATAAATAGCTTGTTTCTCATCCTTCTTTCACACTCTAATTTTAACATTCTTTGATGATTCTTGACTGAAACAATTACTGCAGTATTTGTGAAATGAAGATTTTTCTACTTCTGTCATTCCTTCTATGTTTAAAAATCAGAATTCTCCTGTAAGAGCGTCCCATTCTTCCACCTTTTATTTATTGACTTATTTATTTGTATCAGTATGGACTCACGGATATTTATTTTGTTCTATGGATATTCGTTTGTTAGGAATGTCACAGCAGCGAAATACCATAGATGGGGTGGCTTAAACAACCGAAGCGTATTTCCTTACGATTCTGGAGGCTGGAAGTCTGAGATCAAGGTATTAGCAGGGTTGGTTTCTTCTGAGGCCTGTCTCCTTGGCTTGTAGATGGCAGTCTTCGCTTTGTGTGGTCATGTGATTTTCCCTCTGTTCATGTGTGTTTACCTTGAAATTTTCTCTCATAATGACATAAATCATATTTGATTAGGACTTACCCTAATGACCTCATTTTAACTTTAATACACCTTTAAAGAGCTTTTCTCCAAATACAGTCACATTCTGAAATACTAGGGGTTACAGTTTCCATATATGGATTTTGGGAGGATAAAATCCCATCCGTAAGAATCCAGGACTATCATCATTTTGTGACTTAAATGAGCCTACATTTGGCCTTTGAAATCCCCTGTCCATTGGCTCCTATGTCTGTCTCCAGTCCTCCATTAATCTCTGAGCGCTTTCTTTCTAGTATTGCAAACCATCCCAGGCACATCTTGTACTTTGCCTGGGTCAGCCCTGAAATCATCCATTTATCCAAGGAATCCTCACCCTTTTATTGGAGGCTGGTAGCAATCACCCTCTGGGTGCTTCTGTTATAGGCTAAAGTTTGAGCATCTCTGGTAGACTAGGCAAAGACTTGACTAGGATTTGAATCCAGCTCCAGTTTCTTCTTGAATGAGTGGCATCCAATTAGTGACTTAATCTGTATAAAAGCCTGTTTCCTTATCTGTTAAGCGGGGATAATGTTACCACCTCTTAGAATGGTAATAAGGATTGAGTGATCTGTTACATGAAGCATTTAGCACTGTCCCTGGCTCGTAATCAATGTGCGACAAGGATTAGCTTTCATTATTAGGTGAGTTATTTCTAGAGAGCAAAGATCAAATAACACATCACCATCTGCAGGACGGGCAAATTCTAGAGGGATTCCCAAGAATTTCTCAGTGACCTACTAGAATCAATTCTGCATATGACTTTGAAGAATTTTATCTTAAGATCATACCTGGCATTTTCAAGGAATGTCTAGGGGAGCCTACCCTGTGGCCCCATTCCCAGCACTTTGGGTCTCTATGGAAGAGCTGTGAATGAAACCGAGGGTCTGGTTTTAATTCCCCATCTCATAACGGAACCGGTTTGGTTTCTTGTTCCTAGGTGGGCCACCTGCCTTGAAACCAGGAACTTTCTCCCTCATTCCTTCTCCATTTGGAGGACCACCCCCTAAAGTGGTAGCTTAGCGTGGGGAGAGGGTGATGTGCCATGGATTTTAGTCTGTCAATTGCCATGGGAACAGGAAATCATGGTGAATGGGAGAGATCATAGCTATTAGGACCATGTAGTGTATCTGTTCTGGTTTTTATTAAATTTGTTAATTATCTCTTTGTCCTTTTTTTGCAGAGAGCACGGATAACTTTATCTTGTGTAAGTCTGCTTTACCTGTTGCTTTGAAAGTGATTTATTCTGATACTATCGGTAACTATTGAATTGAAATAGCCCTCTCTCCTGTTCCACATCATCCCTGGCCCATGGCAGCTGACGGGATCTCAGTGAGCTGTGTAAAAAGAACCGAAAAGTAGCAATGCTTTTTGGGCAGGTCCAAGCCCACTTTTCTTGGGTAATCTCTCTATGGTTCACTTTCCCCCAGGGAGTTTTCTAAGGTCTCACGATGCTGTGGATCTCTTTACCTGGATAGAGAGGGGCTTTGTGAGGGTGGACATGGGGTTTCATGTGCCTCGACAGACCCCTGTTGATCATCTTAATTGTTCTTGGAGAGAGAATATGGAACCTGTAAACCTGCTAGTGTTTCTCACCTGCTTCAAGAGCCTGAGCATTTGGCCAGGACTCGCCCTGTGAGAGCTTGATTTACAAGGCTTCCTGATAGGCTCGTGTGTCCTCAAGTGGAATTATTGAGGCTCAGTTTATAAGTGATTTGGCGCTAGGGCTGGACAATCCTAAAAGAATTTGGGGTTTTGTTTATGGACTGTAGGGAGCCTATGTTTATTCCTCTTTCTTTTTTTCCCCATGGAAGGTGGAAATACAGCAGCAACTGCTGCCATTTCTGCCTCGTGTCTGGCCTGAGATAGTAGATGCTGTTTAGAAACACCCTCGACTTTTTGGCACTGATGTCAGTATCATCTGTGATTCCTCTAGTTGTCCTCGGTCTTAGAGGACTTGTAATCTTGCAGAATGTCCCTTCAGAGAATTCTGAACTGGGGCCATTTCTCATCAAGGAGGTGAATTCTAGATGGTAGAGTGCGGGGAGAATTGATACTTGGCTTCCCCTCCTTGGCTTGCCGGGTAAAGGTGGTGTTTCCCGGTCAGATGGTTCTGTTTTTTAACTTGAGCTGCCATTGTGTTCTGAAATCAGTGTTAGGGGAATGGATAGTGGGCTGTTTGATGGATCCCCAGGCCTCCTGGATCTCACTGAGGGGTAAAGAAGGGAAGAGGGAGGGCACGGAAGAGGGAGGGAGAGGAAAAGGAATGCCTATGGCAAGGAATAGCAGAATGTCAGCAGCAGCTGCCACCACCAGTAACGTTTGCCTAATCCAAACCCTGGCCAGGTTCCCAATCCATGCTGCTTTTTTCCATTCTATAGCTCGTGGCCCAAGTTGCCCAGGTTATGTTATTTTCTCTGAGGTGGGGGTAAGGAATGGGAGTGAATGTCCTTTATTCCTATGGAGCCTGTCCTTGAACTGTAACTCCAGCCAGATGGTCAGATACGAGCCTGGTCTTTGGGGGCTCCTGCAAAACCTGGGGAAGGCAGACTACAAGAGCCTGGCTTCCAGAGGATGTTCTCCATGAGGAAGTATCAAGGAGGCTTGGGAGTTGGGCGGGGACTGTGGCTGAGCCTCCCCGGCCAGGAAGCTAACCTTCCTCCTCCTTTTTGTGTTTGGTTTTCAGTTGACGAAGTGAGTCCCACACCTCCTATCACTGTGACCCACAAACCAGAAGAAGACACTTTTGGGGTGAGTCACTTCTTGATCAAGAGGCGTGTGTTGACTGGTATAGTCATTTTCAGACTTTATTTGTGTTGCTTACTTTTCCAAATACCATCCTACTTGAAACTTTGAAAAAAAAAAAGTGATGAATTGAAGTGCATTCAGGCAGTTTAAACCTTTCTTATTTGCTGATAATAGTTCATTGTTGGAGGAAGTCTTTGAGGATCTGCTCCAAGCCCTAGGGTTCAGAAAAGCCCCAGTCTGTTAGGAGCCAAGCTGGGCCGGATTTGCAGGGGCTGCTAACTGTACCAGCCTTCTACGAAAGGCCAAGTTCCTCAGGGCATCTCCATGGGTGGGGTTTTCAAGTGCCCACTCCTACAATTTCAGAGCCTCAGATTGCTCTGGAGAGGAGACAGGATGTTTTTTTAGAGTCTAGATCCTTTAGACTTTCCTGGATAATAATATTATATAAGGCATTTTAACATAAAGATGCAGAATTCACTTGCTAATTAAAACAAAATTAGAAGCCTCTCTAGGCTTGTTTTTGCATCTGTTAGAATGGCCCCAGGTGAGAAGGGGCTCAGCACATTGAATTATGGAACTTTCTCTAATCAAATTGGGTAATCGATATATTTTTAAATGTTCTTATGGTCTCACAAATTTCTTCTTCTAAAGACCTTACTCAGCATTGCAGTTCTGAGAAGGGCACACTTGCTATGGCAGTAGGACTGGTTCTCATCTGGGCACACACATTATTTTCAAAGAACTTGGGTTTTCCACGGCTGTCGCTGACTGTCTGGTTCTGGTTCCTCATAGGTATCCATAGCAGTTGGACTTGCTGCTTTTGCCTGTGTCCTGTTGGTGGTTCTCTTCATTATGATCAACAAGTATGGTCGACGGTCCAAATTTGGAATGAAGGGTAAGGTGGGAGTTTCATTTTCAAGGGTGTCACGGGGGAAACATTACTGCTTTTGGTCAAAAGGTACTGTTTGAATCTCTGATTGCTCTCTGGTACTGGTGGAAACTCCTGTTGGCCCCTTGTTCTTGGTAATTATGGATTGAAGGCAGTGTTGGGATCTGTGGGAACCAAACCATGGATCCACATGGTTTTGCTTTGACTGCTGATACACGTTGCTTAGATGGGCTTATGCAATGAAGATAATTTGGAAAGGAAGTTGGACTTGAGGGCAAATGAAAAGGGACTTTGGTTTATTTTTATTATTGGTGGGCAAAGGGGCTCCTAGTTTGAGGACACAGTTTTCCTCTTGTTTTTGAAGCTGTGTTGGGAAGGCATAAGCACAGCAAGATGTAGGGTGGCAGACTCTGGCATTGAAAAGCTGCCCATGCAACAGGATCTCAGCACGTAGCTCGACACAGAGTCCCAGAGTAGATGCCAAGAGCAACATGATTTCTAAATCGGCTGGCTGGCTTCCATGGCATACAGCGCTCCACTCCACTGTGGCAGGGTGGGGTTGTGGGATGTGGCTCTTTGCCAAGGCTCAGTTAAGGGGACTGGCTTGAAAGGGGTTAACACGGTGAATTAGCATCCACCTGCCTGGTCTCAGAGCCGAATGTGACCAAATGGCTCAAGGGAAGCTGGGTACCAGTTCCAAAACAAACTTGAATTTCAAGATACACTCCCAGCTGGGGTTTCCATGTATGGTGATGTTGGGTAGGGGTGGGTAGGGAGGGACGATAGAAGATTTGACAGGCTATCAGGTTGCTGAGCTAGGATCAGGTTGGTGTTATCTGGTGAGAATATGGGATGCGTAGAGAGATTAATTTCTGTGGGTTTTATGGATGAGTTTGTGTCTGTGGTGGGGACCGTGGGGCTCAGGGACTGAAGAAGAGTACATGAGTGGCATTCATAGGGACAGTGATCCCCTGAGTTGTATGTGAATGTTGGAGTGTTTGAGCATGGAACTGAGCTAGTCCATGAGCTACTGAGATAGCTTTTACTATCTTCTTGGAAGTCTCTGTGACCTTTGAAAATTCAGAACACTGATATATAGGGAGATACCCAGAGAGGATTAGAAGGGTAGAAAACCCTGTAGTCCCAGCTACTCAGGAGGCTGAGATGGGAAGACTGACTGAGCAAAGGAGGTCAAGGCTGCAGTGAGCTGTGATTGCATCACTGCGCTTGAGCCTGGGCAACAAAGTGACACCCTGCCTCAAAAACAAACAACAAACAGAAAACGGGTACAGAGTACCCTGTTTCCAGAAGGTTTCTGCCTTTGCACTGCACTGTCTGCTCTTGATGAACCTGATCAAGTCACAGCGAAGTGAGCTAGTTTTTCTTAAGTCATTTGAGATATTTTGACCATGAGAAAGACATATGCAGGCAAATTATAAAGACAGGATGGAAGTTTGACTGGAAGCCAGGTGACAGACAAAATCAGACCACTCTTAGGCACCTAGATTGGAGATATCTTATCTGTGAACACTCACAGCGTGCCAAATAGGGCTTCCTAGGTCTAGAAGATGAGGCAACCACTGAGTGAGCTCATAGCCTTCAGTCTTTGGATAATCCTTAGGCTCCTGGTTTTGCAGACTGGCACTATTGCCTATACAAAGTTTTCCTACCATGCGGGGAGCTTTCCTAGCTCTTCCTCCTTCCACCTGAGAAAACATCAGGGCCTTGACCAAAGGGAAGAATGGGGCATTATTGCTCTTCCCCTGAGGAGGCACACCACCAGCTGAGACCCTGCGACATGCTTGGCAGTGCTGTGAGAGCAGATTTTTCCTGTTAATTGTCATCTGGTTTCTGGAACGGCATGTCCCCATGTCGGATGGATTAGGCAGCACCCAGGGTGGTGCCTCCCCTCAGCTGTCCTCAGAGCTTCTCCCAGCCCCTGCTCCCCTCTCCCAGGCTGAGCCTCCTTTCTTGGCCCTGGTTGGGCCAGGAGAACGTGTCCGCATAGGTGGAAGTGAAATATCCTCTATTGTAAAGTCAGGTAACTTAAAGAAGCTAGACTGGAGTTATCAGCAAGATGAGATGGTGTATCTAAGTCTCGCCTTGTTTAGAATTAAGCCTGAATCTCTTTGATCTTCATGAAGTCAGATTATGTTTAGGTCTCACTTTACAATAAATAAGCGCAAAGCAAAAATAAAATTCTAAGCCCTCCAACCATCTGAACACATCCCTCTTCTCAACAAGGGCATCTCAAAGTTAACCTGAAAAACTAGTTCAGGCTGTGATGGGGAGGAAGGAGCCATACATGCCGCCTTATACTCTCCTTCCTTTTGGAATTTTGATAGAATAGACTCTTGAAGTCTGACGAGAAACATTTGCAATCTATTCTCTCTGAAGCCTGCTACCTGGAGGCTTGATCTGCATCATAAAACCTTGGTCTCCACAACCTCTTATTGAACCTTCCTATTGAAAATAACTTTCAGCCAACTGCCAATCAGAAAATCTTTGAACGTGCCAATGACTTGGAAGCCCCTGCTTCCAGTTGTCCTGCCTTTCTGGTCTGCACTAATATACATCTTACATGTACTGGTTGATGCCTTACGTCTCCTTAAACTGTATAAAATCAAGTTGTGGCCCAGCCACCTTGGGCGGATGTCCTCAGGATCTCCTGAGGACCCTGTCACAGACCACTGGTCACTCATATTTGGCTCAGAATAAATCTCTTCAAATATTTTACCGAGTTTGACTCTTTTCTTTGACATAAGCAAATGCCTCAAGCCGCCTTTGATGTGTTGTTGCCAGCGAACAGCACAGTCTTGGATAAAGAGTGATGGCATGGGTACCAGAGTTTCCCCACCTTTGACCTAGGGAAAGCCTCATGTCTTCACATCCACCCCAGTCTCAGTTTTGAATTTTCAAATCTGGGTGAGAATCTAAATGCCAGTGAATTGTTCACTGACTTCGGCAACGTTACATACCTTCTCAGTGCCTCTGTTTCCTCAACATCAGAAAGGCAATAATACTTACTACCTCCCTCACTGGGTTGCTGCGATTGTTGAGATCTGTGTGTGACTGGCATATAAAAAGGCTCCATGGGAACCATTTCTCCCTTCTTTTCTTTATATATACACCTTCATATGCTCCTTTTATTGCCTTCTAGGAAGGGCTGCCCTTCCAAGACTCAATCGTGCCCTCTGTTGTCCTACACAACGTTTAGTAAAATGCCTTTATTATGCTCTAGTCCAAGTACAGTGTCATGTCTTTGCTGATAGACCATCCGTCTGTCCTACTTGACCAGGAGCGACCTATGGCAGAAGCCACAGATCCCTCGGCCCAGTACGCCTGAAGCATCACACAGCATTTGACGATTGCTTGTTGAACTTAGAAATGAATGACTTTAATTTTAATAATAATAAAGCACTGCTTATAAATCAGCAATGAGCTAGTTAGAGCTAATTGGGAAATCTGAGATGTCTGGGCAGTGGGAATTAGAGTGATGATCAGGAGGAAAACTCATAAACAATTCCCCGTCCACATCTGAGGGCCAGGTGTGTTGATAAGGAGGGCCTACTAATAGGAGCTTTAATTCCTTCTGAGAAATAAAAAAAATATAAAAAAGACAAAGATTAACATAACGAAGACCCATATTCCCTCTGCCTAGAATAAACGACTTACTGTTTTGTCTTATGTTTACATCTAATGCTTCATTTTTGGGCGATACAACATGTGACTGACAACACTAAGACCCGTTAGTCCTCTTCCCATCCCTGACCCCATAGGCAGCCACTAGCCTGAGTTCAGCATCCTCCGGTTCACTTGCCGAAGCGTCTTTCCCTGTATCTCCGTCTCTGTGTCTCTGTTGGCTGTCTCTCCCCTCCTGGCTGTCTCCCAGATAAACTCACACCTCCCAGACTGCCAAATTAGCAGCCACTTCTACCACATGAAAGATGAGTGGCCAAGGCTGGTAACCAGTTCATTTTTATCCTTCTACCTATATGTATATGTACACATATATGCATATGTCTTTATATATCCGTATGTAGACATACACACGTGCATATCTATGAATACACTTACAAAATGCATTACTTTGTGTGTGTTTTAATTTAAGGATGTTAACTTATACTCTGAGTGATTTGCATTGCATTATTTCCTTGTCATATGTTAGAGATCTCTCTCTGTTGGTAGGTGTAGGAATTCCAATGGATGCCCGTTTTATGGGAGATGAATATATTAACCGGATCTCATAGAAACACACTGAAGATGCTTTGTCTCAGATCCCTCCTTACTTTTTACCAACTGCCATGTTGTTGATCAAAATTTTGGCTTGGGGAGGGGGTCACCTTAGGACACAAGCTCATCTTCTCTTGGAATCACAAAGGTTTAAGATGGTGCTAAGTGTATGCCAGGGGTTTCTTTTGCTGTTGATGAAGTCTAACGCCTTAGAGTGGCAGGGCTGATTTGTGATGTATTTGGCATGTCCTGGGCACTGCCCTATCAGCCTGCTCTTCTCCTGGAGCAGGGCCCTGGAGGTCCCTGCTGTGCTAGGCATTAACTCTTTGATTGTCAGATCATGGGGTGGTCCAGGTGGTGGGGAGGTGGGTACTTGTGGGGTCAGGGTAGGGGCTATTTACTGCAGCTGCAGAAATATATAAAAATATTTCAGCATTTTAACAACTAACTAGAGTGTACCCTTGCATCCTGGGCCTGTAAGTGAGATGGTTCAGAATTTGGGCCAAATTCATTCTCATAAAATATTGTTAAATTAGGCATCAGAAGACTATGGCAATGATCTGGCCACTCTCTCCTGTATCTGCATTTCCAGGCGAAGAAACTGAGTGAGTTTTAGCTCCACCCACTTTCCACAGCAACACAAACGCCCGAACTCCTTTGTCTTGGCCACCCCACTGTCCACATCCATGGTGCACCGTGCGTGGTCACAGAGCAGTCACCAGCCAATCGGTGCTAGCGTGTCTGAACAATAGTAAAACATGCCCTGTAGTTTTCATATGCGGTATCATAATTATTTAATAGAAAAAGAAGCAGGTGTATGGATCTTTTGCAGCCTGTAAAAAGAATGTACATTATTTGGCCTCTTTCCCTCTCGACCACCTCATAAGTATTTTTAAATACTTCGAGATCAGAGATACTGTGAGAGTTTCTTCATACTTCTTGGCTCCCTCTTATTCCCATGGAGAAAACCGACCAATGGTTTATCAGAGCTGAAACGGACCTTCGGCTTATTAGATTATTAGTGTGCCCATTGTACAGCTAAGGAAACTGAGACCCAGAGAGATGCAGTGATGTGCTGGAGTGCACAGCTAGTGAGAGCCTCCCGGCCCTGCTTTTCCACATACATGGCTTGTGCGGAGGACCTGGGACGGTCAGGGAAGTGAAGCTGCCGGATCAGGAAGATATCAGCTCCATCCCTCCAAGGCTCTGTGTACTTAGCTTTCAATGCTGTCCCATTTAAATGGGGCTTTCAAAAATTCTCTTATTAATTCCCTTTCTCCAACGTGGGGCACTCCTAGCCTTGGGGAAAGATAGGCGCTGTTGGAGAAGTAGGCTCCAAGAACTTCATTTCTTTTCAGACATGCTAGAGACTGAACGCATGGCAGGGTGGTGGAAGCTGGAAGGCGGGGAAGGAAGGGCATCAAGAGCTGCTGCTTGGGCTTCCGGCAATGCCTTAAGTGCCTCATCAGCAACCGCTTGCCTTTCTTCCTAATGGCTGGATGTGTACTGTAGCCTCTGATGGGCCTGGGCACTCGCAGGGCTGTTCCATTGTCAATTAGCGTTAGTTAATAGGTACTTAAAGTAGAGTGGTTGCCTATTTGATTATGATTGGGGGCTATTAACATTTTTTTCCATAAACAGATGGTAACTGTCCTCTGAGTGGATTGTTGAATCCTGCCAGAGTCTTGATTTGGAGGGACTGGCTCCTGCCAAAAGATCTCAGGGACTGCCGCCGCATTGAATGATCTTGTTATCCTTCTGGTTTCACCGCTTGGTTAAGGGAGTGATTAGACTTGGGAAGGAGTCATTTCTGCTTTCTCTCCTAACCTTGGGGCATTGGACTGAGAAGAGTTTCTTCCAGGTGGATGGAGGTAGAGGTGGGAGGGATCTTGGACACGTGCGGTTTGATGCTGCAGATTGGCATTTCTTTCTCAGCTGGGACAGTGTCCTTGTGTCTCTAGCCATAACAGCTAGGGATCAAAGCAAATTCAATGTGTACGGGGCAGAGGAATTGGTACCAGAAGCGTGATGTGTGACAGGAGACGTCTGAGGTGATGGAAGGGGCCTTGGACCATGGTTGAAAGCGCTATTGCTATCGTTGAGTAAAATAGTTTCTTTCTCCTGCACAATATAGTTTTTTGATCACGATGTAACAAGGATTCTGAAACCAAGAGCAGTGCAAGGCAGAATTGAAACTGGGTAAAGGAATTGTGTTTCCTGGCTTCCCGAGATATGTCCATTCTTCCTCCTTGTTGTCTTTCTTCTTGACTTCTTTTTCTACTTCCTCCTCTGAATTGACACGTGCAGGGGAGGAAGGCACCTTTGGCCCTTGCCGTGATCCTGTACTTGTAACTCCTGGTGTATGACGACTCCTTGAACACAATGTTGAGAATGGTTTCTGGCTTCTTTCCTGTGTTGTGATCCCAGGGTCCACGTATTCGCCTAGCAAATGCTTGCATGCCATCTCTTTTCTGACATTTGACAGAGCTTCCAACCGCCCTCCTCTCTCAAACACTCCTAGTATTTGATCAAATCTAAATTAAAGATGTTAAATTTGTAGCAGATCCACAGGCAGGATGTAAACTTACAGAAGCCAGGGGTCTTCTGCTTCTCCTTCTTTGGCTTCAACTTTATGGAGAGGCTCTGATTCAAACAAAGCCCCACCCCACTGGATGACTGAGTTCTAGAATGTGGCTCTGGGAGCGTTGAGAAGGCTGGAAAGCCACGTGTGTTTTTCTGGTGTGCTTTTGCTGCGCCGTCCTTTGTGGGAGTTTTGCAGGTGTGCAGTGAATCATCACAGAAGTCCCTACACAGTCACTTTTGGTCATGTGAAGTCTAAACTGCCCCGATTCTCCTGTCCTCATTCCTTGCTCTGAAGGCTCCAGGGAACCAACTATTCCCTTGCGTTGACTCCCCCATTGGAAGGGAATTCCCTTGAAATAGAGCCTGATGCGAAATATTTTTTTCTCCGTGGCTCCCTGCTAGCTGGCTCTTCTTGGCAGGCCTGTCTGCCCTGTTTAGCAGGGCCAAGGATGACCACTATGCCTGGCTCTACAGCCAAAGCAATGGCGTCTCAGATTCATGGAGTTTTGGCAGCAGAACACCGTGCTTACTAACTTGTGTTGTTGCAACTGGCTCTGACCCTTGATTCCCCGCTTCATACCTTACTCGGTTTAGAAGTTCTTCCCCTTTTGTCCCCTGCCACTCCTGTGACAGGTTAGAGTCACCTGCCTTATGCCCTACTGTAGGTGTCACCCGGCTTTCCCAAAAATGCTGGCTCTCACAGTAATTTCACACCCTAGAAAACTGTAACAGTCGATGAGGTAGTAAATGAGGTTTTTAAAAGCTAGGAATAAAAGCAAATCCAAACTAATTTCTGGCTCTTTCAAAGTCACAAACTTTAGTATTTTATTTTTCACCAAGAATCATGGTGACATACTTCCTCACCAATCCGGTTATCCTACGCTATCACGGTACAGGATGGAAAACTAGGAGGGGCTGGGGCTGCCAGCCTTGACTTTCCCGCATCCGTCTTTACTCCAAATGTTTTTTACCCCCTGCCAAGTCAGGTTGTAGAAACTGCTCCAACAGACCCCCTCCTCTCTCCTCATGGCACATTCTTTCTCTCTCTGCTTATTCTCCGCTGGGTCTTGGGAGCTTTTGCTTGCCCAGAAGAGGCGTGATGATAGGCTTTGGCTAGTGAGAGCCGTCATGTGGTTGCAGTACTCACGACCCGTGTTTTCGCAGCTCATTCTCCTGTGAACTCTGCAAAGGGCGTTAGGATGGCCAAAGAGCAGCCCTGGAATCACAAGACAGCAAAACAGAGAGATCAAAACAACTGCTAACCAGAAAACACGTTTTTGGACTAGGGGAGAAAAACCGCAAGCTGAAAACAGCAGCCACCCAGCTAATGGCTGCAAATCCCCAGCCCCGGCTCCTTGTTACCCCCTGCCCTTTGTTCTGTGGTTCCTCCCAGAGGATCGGGTGGGCAGGGGAGCACAGAGGACTGCACTGCAGGCACAATAGCATCCTTTGGCCAGCTGTGCTTCCAGCAAACAGGTGTGTCTGCCACCTGTCCCAGGCCTAGAACTGCCAGGGAAGGAGGCAGAAGCCTGAGGTTGGTCTCTTTCTGGCCTTTGCACCCAGAAGGGTTAATAACGCTCTCTGTCTCTCTTCCTCACTACCCCAGCATACTTAGAGGAGAGGGACCAACCAAGTTGCTGTGGTGCCTGTCTCTTTATTCTTTTCTCTTGTTTCGACTCTTACCACAAGCCAGAGGGGAACGTGCTGCTGACTTCTTCCCCAACAGGATCGGCTGTCTAATTTGTGTGGCCCAGTGAAAAATGTTCAAAAAAGATCGGAATTTCCAGACAGCTCCAGCAGAGCATTAAACCCCAAGCTCAAGGTTCTTTTGAGCATGGAGCCAGGTCACAGGTCCACGAAGCAAGCTCTGCTTCCTGAATACCAAATCCATCATGGCTTCAGCTCCTAGCTCCTTTGTCTATCCTGAATGGTGATGAAACAGCTATTTCTGTACTTCCTTTTAGAGAGAAGCTGGGATTTGGGGTAAAGACAAGCATAGGAGTTGGCTTTTTACTTCTGATTATTGTAGGGGAAGAGAATGATAGGCATCAAACATTTGTTGAGAACCTACTGTGTGCCGGACATCTAATATATCTTTAAATCTAGAGTCTTCACAGGTAGCTATTATTCCCACTTTAAGGATGAGAAAGCGGCTGCAAATGCTTAAATTGCTCAAGGTGTCATGTACCTGGTGTCAAAACTAGGTTTTAAACGAGTTTACTCTTTGTTCGTTCTCAATCTTAGCTGCACTCTAAACACCTGATAAGATTGTATAATTTCCCAAAACCTAGACCACAATCCAGGTCACTTAAATCAGGCCTGGGTGTTCTTTTTTAATTCCTCTGATGATTGCTATGTGCACCTAAGGTTGATGAACAATGGTCTCAATCCAATGGACATCACACATTTCACTGGCTCTCCAGGTGGCTTATGTAGTCTGCAGACCAGCTCAGCTGATAATGCTGGGAGCTCATTACATGTGCAGTTGCCTGGGGTTTACCCCATACCCACTGAACCAGACTTGGGGTGCTGTGGGGGACAAGCAATTTCTCTGGGTGATCCTGAATGATGGCTGGGGTTTAGGAGCCACCACCCTATACCTGTAGAGAGACAGGCTGATAACATGGACAGTACTGTTCAAACTTTAACATGCAGGTGAATATTGGAATATTCTGGGGATCTTGTTAAAAACATGGGCTCTGGTTCAACATGTCTGGGGAAGGCCGAGAGTCGGCATTTATTACAGGGTTCCGGACAACACTGCTCTATGGGGCATGCTTTAAGTAACGCGGGTTAAGCTACTGGCAAACAGTTCAGGCCTGTGGCCTGGGAACTTAGATTGCCTCTTTGCTTTTTGTTTTTTCCTGAATGCCAGTTGCAAAATGAACCTGCTTCAAAGGTCCGTGGGCTGGGATTTTGAGACTCTAAGATTACAAACTATAACCACTACTTTTTTTGTATTTTTAGTAGAGATTGGGGTTTTACCATGTTGGCCAGGCTGGTCTCGAACTTCTGACCTCAGGTGATCTGCCCATCTCAGCCTCCCAAAGTGCTGGGATTATAGGTGTGAGCCACCGCGCCTGGCCTCTATAACCACTACTTCTAAGGCGTTTCAGTTCTATCCGCTTTGGGCCTCTCTTCTCTCCTAAAACGGTTTCTGTAGTGGCTTCCTTGGTTTGAAACCAAGCTGCCACCTCTTTCCACACCAGAGGACCTGTAAGGTCTGCTGCCTCAATTGATTTCAGTAATAACTGTCAGGTCAATCAGCACTGATGTCCCCACTGAAGGAGTGGGGGGAGAAACCCAGAGAGGCCAGCAGGCAGTGGGCAGCCGGCATTCCCAGCTCAGACTCCTTGAGCTGTGGAGGCAGTTCCTCTCTTTCTCTAGAAACTTCTTTATCCTCTTTGCTGTCCCTCCTACCCCTGATGTGGAAGGAAATGTTGGGCGTATAGAAAACTGGAAAAGCTTGTGCCGGCAGGCCCCGGAATGGCTCAGAGTGGATCTGTCGGCAGGCGGAGGAAGCCCCATGGGTTAAGTTGGTGGGCTGCCCGGGCTGCCCGCCGGCCTCAGAGACACTGCCCTGGGCGGTGGCTGGGATCCTGTTCTTCCCAGTCTTCCTGCCCTGGCAGTTGGTATTCACACTGGAAGCCTGCCCTGCCTTCCATTTTACAGTGGAATAAGAGTTGCATAGTTGGCAGAAGACCAGAGCAGTTTAGTCCTGGAAATGCCCAGCCTCTCTACCTGACAGCCGTCTTGAATTCCAAGGCGCCTCTGTGCTGCTGCAGCAGCCCTGCAAACCTGTTCCCAGGCAGGGGCAGAAGAATGCCAGCGTCTGTCTGTCTGTCTGCCAGCAGGCCTTGACATGAAGCCCCAAGGAGGACGTCGGGTAGTTTCAGGAACTGCCTTTCCAAAGTGCATCCTTCCAAATAGATGGGGTTCAGTGGGTTGGCCTCGGACCAGTCAAAGGGGGTGCAGGGGGTGCCCTGTTGTTGGCCTGGATTCTAGAGAAAGCAGGCAGGATTTGAGCACTGTTGTGAGCCATTATGTGTGAAAATAACTCCCACAGCACCAGCCCCCTGCTTCGTGGCTGCTTTGCAGGGGGCATGCCAGCCCAATGGGGCTGTGCGCGGTGCTTGCCGCCTTCTGAGAAGTGCTGTCAGGAATCAGGAGCCATCCAAGAGCTTGGAAAGTGGATGCTAATGTTTGCTGCTGCCCAGTGT